AATACTTGTGCTGGATGGTCGGCCTCCACTATCACTTAGCCATCAGAACTGTCATTTTTCGTCGTCGCAAGTTGATCAAATCTAAGGAGAACGGTAAAACGGTGTACCGGGACAAGATTCGGTTACCTCGTGGTCTCCAGCCGAAGGTCGAGGCGGACGCGAAGTCCTTTGCTGACAGGGCAGGAGACTTGCAGTTTGAAGAGAACCCTTATGCGGTGGGAGGTCCAAAATTTGGCTTTAGTTTCACTACTGGTAGACAGAAAGTTGAGACTCCTTGTCCCAAAACGGTGGAGAAGTCCAATGATCATCAGGACAAGTCGTTTAGAGGGAAAAGGGCGGGGAACAAGAAGCCTTACGTGAGAAAGAACAATAATTTCTTCAATCGTAATGGTGAGTTCACTTGGTCGTACCAATCTGATTGAAAGCTGAAGCTGACTGTGTTGTGAATTTTTTTTTTTGTTCCTATTATGTCGGGTTCTCCTGGTGAAGACAATCCACCGGCAACTAGTAATGCGGTACCGGTGGCCTCCACGTCCTACAAGCCTAACTATCAATTCAAAGGGGCTAAGCATAATGCTAAATCTACTACCCAGGAAGAAAACCAGGCAGTGTAAGTGCTGCACTTCCAATGTGAGAGATGGTGACGGTTGGCTGACAATCCTTTTTGTTGGTTTGGTAATTGTAAATCGTCACGGTATGGTCTGGTTGTTGGGGGGCATGGGACTCATGTGCTTTCTATCTCTTGGGACTGATTACGAATCTTGTTAGTGCTTAGAATGTTGATTATTGTATCTAGCGATGATTGAAGTAGTTCTGAGTGAAATCCTATGTGAACAATTAGTGATAACAGGTTAAGCAGTCCCCTGAGCCAACAGCGAGAGAGAGAGAGGATGCTTACAAACCACAAGTGCACGGTGGAGGAGACCACGACTCTTGATAGGAGCCGGGGAAAAGAGGCAGTTGAAGTCGACTTGCCTGCCACACCTGAAAGAGTAGAAAGAGGACGAAGTCATATCGAAGATGATTCAGTTTCAGGTTCGGAAGCTTCAGTAGAGGAAGAAGATGAGAAGTTGAAGAAGATTCCTATACCTCTTCGTCAGAGGAAACTGTTCATAGCGCCAGTAACGGTCCCGTGGCCTATGCCAGTTTCGTGTAGGATGAAGGTCCATGAGTGGGCATACTTGATGAAGGAGGTAGGCTTAGAAGAGGACATACCATACATAGTCAATGGGTTCAACGAGGGTTTTTGTTTAGGCATTCCCCAACATGAAATTGAAGGAATGCGGTGGTATACACCAGAAAATCACAAATCGGCCTTCGAGGCGAGATCCCAGATCGAAGCAACGTTAAAGAAAGAGCTCGTGGCTGGAAGGATCGCAGGTCCGTTTACCCACGAACAAGTGTACGCAAAGTACGGTTTCTTTTGGTCGAACCCTATGGGGAGTGCGGTGAACAGTGACGGGTCGGTGAGAATGGTTAACGATCTGTCCTTCCCGAAGTATGATAATAAGATACCGTCAGTTAACTCTTTCGTGAACAAGTCAAATTAAGGGACCTACTGGGACGACTTCAACAGAGTAGCAAAGTTCTTCCAAGAGAATCCAGGGGAGTGGGAGGTCACCATTTTTGATTGGCAGAAGGCATATTGACAACTTCCGATACATCCGTGCCAGCGTCGATATCTTTGCATTGTGGATTTCTACAATAGAGTGTGGATAGACCTAGCAGTCGGCTTTGGAGGAGTTGCGAGTTGTGGCGTGTTTGGTGCACCAGCCCATGTATGGAAACTGGTAATTGAAAGGTTGCTAAAAATCATCATCTTCAGATGGGTCGATGACAATCTAATGTTCAGACGACCAGGTGACAAAATTGCTTTAGCAGACGTGACATTTCTGAGTGAAAGTTTAGGGGTTATGACTAATCCAGTAAAGAACCATGATTTCGCCGAGGAACAGTGGTTCGTAGGCTTCATATGGAATGGTCTTGATCATATGGTTCGGCTTCCTGAAGAGAAATTGAAAGAAAGACTCCAGATCATAGTGGACCTAATGAATCCAGAGACCCAATGGGCCTTTAACAAAGTCGAAAGCATAGTCGGGAAATTAGTTCATACGGTCCACATCGTCCCACATATGAAGGCATATCTGAATTCGTTCTACAGATGGATGAAAAGTTGGAGGAATAAGGCTGCTTTGCGATATACGTCAGACAGTGTTAAGGCAGATGTAAATGAGTGGTACTGGGTCTTAAAGAACTTTAACTCACGAAGGATTATACCGTCACCTAAGGCAGCTGAGGTCTCCTGGGTAGGAGATGCGTCTTCGTCCTTTGGGATCACGGTCTTGATAGGTGACCATTGGGCGTGTTTCGAGTTCACCAAGGGTTGGCAAAATTTGGGCCTAGTCGACGACAAACGCACCATAGCGTGGGCAGAGACAGTTACCATGAGGTTAGGCCTGTTAATACTACAGAAAGTACGGCGGGTTGCAGGTGAGTCGGGGATCCGTAAGAATTGTCAGGCAAGCAGATCTGACCAGGACCCTCCTATAGGAATGAAATTTGCGGTCTGGACTGATAATACGACATCGCAAGCTACAGTCAGAAAGAGACGATCGAGAGACAATCTGGTTAATGAAGAGTGGAAAGCCATTCAGAGGCTACTTACTGTCTTGTCATGTGATATAGAGGCGAAACGCGTAACATCTAAAGGGAACATCGCGGATGCCCTTTTGAGAGGTTATCTCGGAGATCTCTTATGGTTTAATGAAGTGAAGATAGAGATTCCCCTGGATTTAGATACGCTGTTGCGACAGGTCTTTCCTCCAAAGCTTCATCCACCTAAGTCTCAATAACGTCAGGACAATTCAAGCCTCCACTCGTCCGACGCCTTAATCGACCTGTCAGGCCACAATGGTAACCAGAGGAACTTCGGTGACCAAGAACGTGGATTTGAAGAAAGTGACAAAACCTTTTGGGGCATTCAAGAAGAATGCGTTAGGATTGGATGATTCAGACGTTGATGAGGTAAAACAGCACTACTTACGAGGTTCGTGGGGTGATGGAACATTGAAAAGTTATAACTCGGGAGTGGTGAAATTGCACCGGTTTGCGGTGGTGAAGAAACTAAACAAGTCAGAACTGTTGCCGATCTCACCAAAAGTCATGAAGTTGTTCGTGGTGTGTGCTTCAAGAAGGAGCGTTGACCGAGCGGAAGACGATGAGTCGGTGAAATATACGACATTGAAAGCTTACATTGCTGGAATAAATGCATGGCACCTTTTTCACGACAAGGAATATCCGGTCGCGGTCGATGGTGCGGTCAAAGCCCTGTTGAAGGCATCACAGATGATAGAAGCGGAACTGGCGGAAGCGGATAAGAAACATCCTCCTGTTATGTTATCGGATCTGGTGGTCTTATTGGAGGTACTGCCAGAAGAAGGAGAGAGAGGTCTGGCAATGTTAGCAGTAGCCTTAATAGCTTTTTGGGGTACAGCTCGCTTAGGGGAATTGATATCTGATGATCCCAAGAAGAACTTACCCAAGTGGAACGATCTATGCTGGGCTGAAGATTGCTCATATGTAACAATTGCGATTTGGAAGGCCAAAACGGCGAGTCCAGGGGAGATCCAGTATATCAAGCTTCATAGACAGAATTCGCTTCTGGACCCGGTGTCAACCCTTGAAGAATGGTTCCATTTCAAGGATCGGAAACTGGGAGACGAGATATCTTCCATTTCAGTGGAGGGGAGAAAGAAACGTCTGGGGAAATTAGAGACGATCACTCACCTCAGAAGTATATGGAATGCCAGACGGTCAAAGAAGAAACAAATGCTACATGGCCATTCTTTTCGCATCGGAGGAGCGTCTCTTCGTTGGAATCTAGGGGCAGATAAAGATGACTTGAAACGCTGCGGTCGATGGGCTTCTGATGCTTACAAAGTTTATTTGAGAAAATATTCCGAGAAAGACTTGAAGAAAACGAAAAGTTTGATGAAGGAACTGATGTGGTTATAAAGTTGTGCGGGTATGAGGAAAATACAGGGATCTGATTTGATGCAAGCCTCAATACATCTGATGAACAATCAAAGTTTCTCCCGCGTGCTCGTTGAAGAGCAGTAGTTGAAAAGATCTCCCAATTTTGAACTATAAAGTTCGAGTAGATGTTTGAGTAGATTCAAACTCTACGGTGGTTTGAGAGATGGGGCTTCTCAGGCTCTTGGCTCAAATCACCGCGAGTTTAGGGGAAGAGAAGCCCACATCGGCTTCTTTGCTCTCACCCCGGCGAAGTGGATCTACCTCGGTGATAGACGTCTATTACCGGGGTAGACCCCTCCCATTTTAGCCGGGGCATACCCCCAAACCACCCACAGTAGATAATACTTTACTAGAAGTGGTCGCAAAGAATAACCGGTAAAGGTAACAATTCTTTGGGATCTCATACAAAATCAATGAATAGAAGTAATTGATAGAGGACAAGCGTGCCCCTTGTGCCCGCACGAATAGTCCAAACACATACCTCTTGTACAAGCTACAATAGCTGAGTTTATATATCCAGCATAATACCCATACCAGTCAAGTAGTGGATACAAACATCACTCCATGAAAAAGAAAAGGTTGTTAGGAATGGTCCATTACACGTGCAGTGCTTCAAGCTCTCTGATATGCCTTTGGGAACTTGCACTCTTGGGTGATCCAAGGTTGGATTTTTTGCCGGTTTCTGAGAAATACAGGCTTCAAACCCGCTCACTGCTCAGGAAGGGGTGAAAAAGTCCAATCAAAAATCACTGAGCAGCAGAACTTCCAGTCCACAAATGGAACTTCTGGAAGTTGGAGCTTATGTAACGGCTTGTGGGCATTATTTTGTTTGTTTGCACAAAAGGGACTTGAATGAGCCAAAAAAATATTAAGATGTAGAGAATCTTTGCTGAGTACAGCCTACTTCTCACGCAAGAATTTGGGTTTTTGAGGTAAGTCCCTCGCTTGAGCCTCGGGCCGTTGGATCAAGTTTGAGTGCCCCCCTCGTGACATCTACCGGCTCCAGTATCACAATCAAAGCGACATCCAGCGTCGTCGCAATGGCCTGTATCGCTACATTCTACCTGTTCGCAGTTATGCCTTTCAGCCGCTCGCCCATCGTCACCGTCTTCGAGACTCGTGCGCAATCGTCTAGTGTCGGAGAAGCCCATGGCTTCGAGTCTTGCTACATCATCCAATAATTCACAAATCGTTGGTGTGACGACAATAACCAAGATCAAGCTTGATAAGACAACTCTCCTCAATTGTACACCTATCATTGTAACAATCTGTAGCAGATCAAATATAAAATATAGGTCACCTTAATTGATTGTAATAAAGTAAGAAACAGAAGGCGAAACTGAGATCATCACGAATGGTGTGAGTATGAGATTCTAGAGAAGATGACGTATGTGTGAGAAGAGAAATGCTGCACCTAAGATTATCACGAGTAGCGTGAGCACAAGATTTTAAAGACCTGAGATCAGGTATGCGTGATGAAGGAAAGGCTGGACTTGTTGGAAGGTGGCAAGATAAAGTAGATACATGTTTGAGTTGATTCCATAAGGGAGGCATCAGTTAATCCAAGCATAGAAAACATACACATACCTGAGATTATCACGAGTAGCGTGAGTATGTACTATGAGGTTGTAGAGACCTGATATCACGTATGAGTGATGAGAGAAAGGCTGCACCTCTTGGAAGCTGGAAAGATCAGATGTTCGAGTGAGAAAACAGCATAGACACAAAAAAACTCTTTATATAGTAAAGCTTTCTATAGACATAGGTCTTCCAAACAATTAACAAGGATTGTGACTCTCACAGATCATGCGTTGATAATCCTGCTGTGAGAATGAACGAAACATATAAAATTAAGTAAGAAGGAATGTTAGATCCTGTTAGATCGCAAAAGATGAACGTGGACTTGTGCTGAGAAAGAAGTGTGGAAAGCGCGAAGGGTTTATACATGGTACTTGATTGAATCAGGAAAGTCCCAACAAAAGTGACCAGGCAACGTTGCAATTGCTAGGGGAATCATTCTAGTAAAAATGAGAAGGACCTACCAGCTTCAGAGCTTTGTGAGTTTTCATTTGGCGCGCCCAGACGTTAGTATCTGGTTCAAGACTCGCTTCGAGAGAAGAAGGGGTGCTTACTCACTTCCACTTTGCCAATTGCGTTGGGTATAGGATGGGTGTGCGTGGATGTTATATATATTGACACGATTTTATGTTGATTGACTGAATGAGCTATTGCAGTGAAGAATCATATCATCAGGATTTGGTTCAGCTGATCTGTGCTTGCATCCTTCAAGTCTGTGTTCTATTAAAAGGCAATGAAATGAACACCAACAGGAAGTCAACTGCTGCAGGAAATTTCAACGAATGTCAAAGAGGGACGTGGATGGTAAAATCTAGTGAACTGTGAGTCGATTGGAGCAGGGCCCTTCTGTCAGACAAATGGCAGGAGCTGATCGTGATGGGAGTATTTATCAACAAAAGTTGAAGGCTTCAAAGTGATCGTCCGAGTCCCTTACGATAAGTTATCATTTCACCGGCTAGGAAGCGCAGAAAGTCGTGTTGCTAAAGCCTTCAGACAGAGTATTTCTTGTGTCGCTCAGTTTTTTCAAAAACGTCAGATGCTATCGTTTGACGCTGAATCGCATGTAACGAGGGGGTATGATGTATATGACGATAGAAACAAGCCACTGTCATTCAAAGTTTTGCAAGGAGTGTGTTGTTTCTGAAACCGTATCACAATCATCATTTGACAACGGGTGATTGGAGCGGGGCTGATTGCTTTCTCCGCGTGATAGTTAGGATTCGGGGAAGGTATTGTTCGATTGAGTCTACTCCCAGCTCTATCATTTGTGTTTTTGGTTTGGGTTTATTAGTCTAAGGATTGATTTTCCCGGGTGTCTCCGTGATATCTAATCATCCTGAAGATTGCATCCATCATCGAGTGAAGATCTTGTCACCATTCAAACTGTTGTTTCGTGGTTCTTTGACACTAGACTGTGAGGAAGAAACCCCGTTTCTGCTAACATATAACCAAGTGCAATCTCCTTCCCCGTGCATTTGAAGTTTGCCAGCGCTCCCAGTAATTTCTTGCATTTGAAGGTTCTTGGTAGGATTGGTGAAAGTTTCCAACCTGCGTTGTTGATCTGGACCGCTTTGTATCGCAATTCTTATTTTACGCTGGTCGACCACAAAAGCCAATGATGGATTACGCGGATGAGCTCGAAAAGAACAATAAAAAAGCCTAGTTATTTAAAGAGTGGGCCCAAAAGCCTGATGATTGGGAGCTATACAACACGAACGACTGAGGAACAATAATAGGTGGTTTGTTTGATCAAGATCAACACCAAGAAAATCAAAGAGGACGTCAGGGAAAATATGCAGACTACGGCAATTTGTATTCATGATGGGAATAGGCAGGTCAGGATGACCAAAAATATGGTAAGATTATCTTGTGGGGAAGAATCTGAAGAGCAGAGGGAACAAGAGGACACATAAGTGCAGTATGTACGTGACTCCAACTCTGCTCAACCCATCACGACGCGTTTTCAACAAAACAGGGAGAAACAATCGTGATAATGAGTCGATTGTTACCCCGAACCATCTGCCCCAATTGCCGCGTGTTCTGTTAAGACTCGTACCAACTACGAATATATAAGGTTGTTTTCGCTATTTATACTCTAGGGTCTTGTCAGGAAACCGTTCAGGCGCTCACGGGAAGTGTCCACTTTTGCTATCAAGCGGCCACTATTTTATCGAAGTGAAACGCACCTCAGCTCCCAACATGAGGTCGTACCTGGTCGTACACCAACCCCACTGCGCACAGTAAGCCTTCCCATTCGGACAATTAACTCGACCGGTTAACAAAAACATGCCGATGAGATGATGCAGAATTGAACGCAAAATATCTACGTTGGTCCACAATGTTTTGCTCTGTTTTTTTGTTTGAGTCGTTTTCAAATGAGACCTGAACGAGAATTGGGGTACTGTTTCAGAAACAAGCAATGTGATTCCATGGTAAATTCCCGTATCCTCTCGTTTGTCGTTGTCCAGGTTCACGACATACATAGTATCTGACGTTACTGGGAAAGATGGGCAAGACCAGAAATCCTTTGTCTGACCTAAAAGCTCTAGAAAGTAGACCTTTCAGGTCTATGAACGGTGTATGTCATGATCGCGACGTGAATTCGGAAGATAATCCCAGCTACTTCCAAGGATATCGCATTTTGCGACAAATTGTCCCCCGAATCTATCCCTTACTTCACTCGATTTACGGTATACTGTAGTATCCACACTCATTCTTGACGGTCTTTGCTTATCATCCATTTGGAATTAGGATATCATGTTGGTCTTCTTTGGATGACTTTCTTGATAGAAGACAGATCAGCTATACCAAGTAATGATGATACAACTCTCCAGCTTGACAAATAGTCGACTAAATCCATTCTAAGGTCACACCAAAAGCCACTAGGAACGTGGAAGTGAGTTATTATCTTACCTTTTCTCGGTGCTTGCCCTGGACCAATCACTGACATCTGGGCATGTGTGAAAACGCGAATAGCTTTAAATCTGGTCTTTATCTGCTCATCTTTATCAGCATTATCCTTAGGGTAAACATCAAGTTTTCTTGTTCTTTCTGCAAGTTCAAATTACCTGATCGATAATAACTGATATAGATCACGCATAATTTCTTCTCAGGTTACAATGAAAGGGGTACACTTCAGAGGAATCATTCTGCTAAGCTTGGTCTTGAGTGTTACGATCATACCAATAATGTGCGAATTGTTGGATGATACAGAAAGACTTGAAGTGATGGGCTTCTCCGACGGTGACCGATTGCGTGCAAGGCTTCAAGAAGATGACAATGGGCCGGCGTCTGAAAGGCATTCCTGCTCGTCAAGACCGTGTGAAGATCATGATAGTTGCCTCCATAGTGGATGCGACCGGGGTTGTGAGGCTGGCACATGTCGCGGGTGATCGTTACTCTTGGTTTCTGGTGGAAATGTGGAAATATGATAGCCTGAGGATCTCCACCCTACTCTGTCTCCTTCCCAAGTATCCTCTAACTTGATTGAGTCCCTCCTCACATCCTCTGGAGCCGACGGAGGAGGGCAAGCTCCGCGTGACGTCTCTGCAGTTGATGATGGGGCTTGTGTTGAGCTAGAGCCTAGAGTATCCTTGATGTTGGCCTTACTCTGAACTTATGCAATGTGACATTGCCACGTGAGGACTGTGACTGAACATTAACAGACGCGCTTCTCACGGGCTCGAACACAGTTTCCCATCTGCTGAGCGGGAGATTGAAGCTTGGCAGGCGGAGAGGTGGCACGCTCACATGCAGTGTCTGATCGAAGGCGCGGCCGCGTACACAACCACATGTAGACTTCAACTGCTCAGCCGCTGTACCTCGAAAGTTCAATCAACCTTCAGATCATGCCGACCAGTTCGAGTGTCCCTGTTAAGCATCCTCATCGTCATCTTGTGCTTGGGTTTGTATTCCATGCAGCATTCCTTGCTTCTAGTCAGTATACTTCCTGTCTTTTAGCAAGTCATCACAAGCTCATTGTTTTTGACATGTTCCAGTTTTCGATATCTACTTTGTGAGCCCTGTTTTGAAGGTCAATCGACGGTTTAGTATATTGGACTCGATCGAAGGAGAACCTGCTGCTTCCCGAGATGATGTGCTGCCTCTGGCTAGTCGAGTGGTCTTGATTGTCGGTTAGTGATATTATCCTTACCAAGTCCCTTCTCTCGTTCGCAGCTACCCCGCCAAGGGACACACAAGACGACAGGAACTAACAAGCTCGTCATGATTTTTCACTCCGACTTCTCTCTGCGTCAAACAGGTGATGGATTACGGGCCGACAAACTCTTTTCTTTGTTTGCCAATCCGCCTTTTGACCCAGTTTTAGCAGTGCCCGATTTGCCAGAACTGAAACCTATTCCAACTTATGAACGCTCCCAACCTCATCTGATGACCCCTGCACCATATTTACGGTCTCTGGTAGAAACTGGCAGAGCTAGCTGGGGCGTCAGTCATACGCGAGTTCCTACTGAGAGCCGCCCTGGTCATGTCGCCATCATTGCCGGCATGTATGAGGATGTAAGTGCTGTCACTAGAGGTCAGTCTCAGTGCCTTTTTTAGAGAAAAACTTACAATACCTTACTGGCATTCTGCTCGACAACACAGGCTGGAAGATGAACCCTGTGAACTTTGACTCCGTCTTCAATCAGTCTTCTCATAGCTTTACCTTTGGATCTCCTGATATTTTACCCATGTTCAAGCATGGTGCATCAGATCCAAACCGGGTTGATGCATGGAGTTATGATGAAGCGGCCGAGGATTTCACCAAGGATGCCGCTGAATTAGACATTTGGGTTCTTGATCGTCTCAAAAAACTTTTCATCGATGCCAAGAAGGCAGGTCCTGGAAGCGAGCTCGACAATCGGTTACGCTCCAACAAAGTCTTCTTTTTTCTTCATCTGTTGGGACTAGATACTACCGGTCATTCCTACAGGCCGCACTCTCCTGAATATCTCCGGAATGTGCAAGTGGTCGATAAAGTCGTTCGGGGTACTGAGAAGCTTTTCGAGGACTTCTACGGTGATGATCGTACCGCATACATCTTCACCGCCGATCATGGCATGAGCAATATTGGCAATCATGGTGATGGCGACCCAGACAACACACGTACTCCAATAGTCGCGTGGGGAAGCGGTATCAAGGGTCGAGCGTCTGTAACTACTAACCCTTCGGTGCCGATTGTGCCTTCAAACGATCCATACTTTGCAAATTGGCATCTTGATAACATGGGGAGGCTAGATGTCGAACAAGCTGATATTGCACCCTTGATGGTGAGCTATCGATATCTCGCGAACCTGACACCAAGTGACGTGGATTGACTAGCTATCGAATGCAGTCCACACTGGCAGGAACCCCCATACCTGCCAACTCTGTTGGACGTCTGCCCATGAATTACCTCAATGCATCTTCGGACGAATTAGCCAGGGCAGCGTACGCAAATATGCGCGAGATCTTACAGCAATACGAAACTAAACATGGTAATGTCCTCCACATCGTCTTTGAAAAAAGACTTGACAAGTGGACTAACCTTTTGTGATTCAAAATCGTAGCTATGAAAGCTTCCACTACTTTCGCATTTCGTCCGTTCCCCGAACTGCCCGAACGTGAATCGATCAAGCAACTAACCACGATACAACGTCTCTTTCACATTCATCGCCTGATATTGACCGGTCGTCATGAAGACGCAGTAAGAGCATCGTCTGAATTGCAAGCTGCTGCGTTAAGAGGTTTGAAATACCTACAACGGTGCGATCAAATCCTCCCCGGCTTATAAGAAAATATTCTGATGTCTTTTTCTACTACATCAGATACGATTGGTTTGTTCTCCGTACCCTTGTCACCAGCGGGTATGTGGGGTGGATGATCTTGAGCGCAATTCATGTCTTGAGAACCTATGCCTTGCCTCCAGTTTCATATCAGTCTCCGCAAGTAGGTTTTGGCAGCGTCTTAGGGTTCGCTGTCTTCCTGACCTTTGCCGTCAAGTTCTTCATCGAACAAGCACCTCTCACTTATTATCTGTATGCCGCCTTTCCGGCCTACTTTTGGAGTCGTATCTTGAACGACTCCAATACGATTCAAGACGTACAAGACTGGGCGCAGTGCGTGGGCTCTCAACAGAGAGCCACGTCGTCCAGTATCTTTATTTGGTCTCTGATAAGTCTAGAGTGCATGGTCCTTGGATACTTTCAGCGATTCTACTGGTCCGTTGGATGGGTCGTGGTCGGCATTGTATGGCCGGCTGTCGGAACAGACTATGCATTCCGCTCTCGTAATCAGCATCTCATGCGCACATGGACAGCCGTAGCCATTGTCAGCAGCATGTTTACGTTGCTACCCGTAGAAAAGGGAGAAAGTATACCAACTATGTAAGCCCGGCATAAGACTGTCCCACGTATGACCTATAACTGACTCTTGTGCACAGCGCTCTTGGCTCGGCTCTTTTTCTTGGAGGGGCATACGTTGCTCGTAAGCGACAATATTCACATCCTACCAATTCGCAGGTCGGTTTTATCGTGGCGGCCTCTGTAAATACGATATACTCGGCTCACAAGCTGAGTTCCAAACAAGGCCTTCCAAAAACAAATCAAGCTTTGGGTTGGATCATCCTGCTTGGATCAATATTGTCGCCTCTGTTTTCTTCGGGTCGTCGCTCTACACATCAATCTACACCTACAAATGAATCACTGCTACATCAGACTCGACTGCTCAGACTTGTCTTCTCGTTCGTGCCGGCGTTCATCATTCTTTCACTATCATACGAGGTCTTGTTCTACTTCTGCTTTTCGCTAGCACTATTGGTCTGGATCGAATTAGAAACTCGACTCGCGAACACCGGAACTCAAGTGATTCGTCAACCAAATGCAACTTCTGAGACAACGCGATCTAAGTTGAGCATGTATCAACCTCAACACATACGATTAGCACTCTTCTTCCTCTTCTTCATTCATGTGGGGTTCTTTGGTACCGGTAACGTGGCCTCGATCTCCTCATTCTACCTGGAACCTGTCTATCGCCTTGTGCCTGTCTTCAGCCCGTTCCTGATGGCATCATTACTCCTGATGAAGATCTTAATCCCATTTTTAATCGTGTCTTGTGCTTTCACAGCTCTCAATAGACAACTGAGGTTACCTCGCATGTCACTTTTCGTTTCCACCTTTGTAGTTTCAGACGTTTTGACACTCAACTTCTTTTTTCTCGTCACTGATCAAGGTTCGTGGTTGGAAATCGGTCAGAGTATTAGTCATTTTGCAATCGCCAGTTTTTTGTTGGGTTGGACAATTCTTTTGCATAGTTTAGGTGAAGTTTTCTTAGGTAGAGATCATCAACAGTTGTATGTCAAGCAAAAATGAGTTGAAATTCATTGTTGGAATGAGGAAAAGCAGCGCGGTCACGCGAGTCCTATTGTCTTAGAGGGTTTCGACACCAAGTCTTAATAGCTCAGTTGGGAGAGCGTCAGACTGAAGTCGTCATGAATCTGAAGGTCCAGTGTTCAAGCCACTGTTGGGACATTGTTTTGTTCCTTGTGTCATTGACATTGATTTTTGTGTCAGTCAATTTTATATGGATCAAGACATCAAACTCCCTTGCAAACATGGACACATTGCTAGCTACATCCAAGATCTTGACCAATACAATATTTGGTACACTAAATCACTACAGCCTAACTTCAATTGAAATTCCTCAGGACTTGTGTGACATCTGTTACAATTCAGTAAGAAACAATTGGTCATGATTTATATTATCAGGCATGCTAATCTATAGGACATAATCTTGGTGTTATTTCTGACACCGAATTAGTGCCAATTCATCAGGGGAGTTTCCCACAGTTGACCAGCTCAACAGTTGTAATACCACAAACCATTTACCAGTGTAAGAAGACTACAAAAGCCTAAGAAAAAAATCTGCATTGTACATAAGTTGTATTTCTTGTTTTATATAAAAGAAACCACTATTCACTGCCTGGAAGAAAAAAACCAGCACCTGCATTTTCTGTAGTGATACCTGTACATACCCGTGCAGTACCAAGGCATTTTAGGCTAGCAACAGCCCCACCAGGAAGTATACCAGGTGGGGCTGTGACCCAACCCTGAAAGTTCAGAGTTGGCCACAAGGCCAAGTCCTAACTTAACAAAGTCCGTCCTCCGCAAGACCGACGGAGGGGGACGCAGGCAGTGGGGGGCTTGTGTTAAGCTAGGCCAAGTCTGGCCTTAGCTAGACCTAAGGGCTGACTAAGGCACAGTTTCAGTGCTTTGTGGGTACAAAAATGTGGCAAAACACAATGTTTTTGACCTACATTGCCATTATATGTGTACAGGAACTTTTTTGGAGGCTATATGAGTCTACTTGTACATCAAGAAGATCTATACTGTGCCTATATTGCTGAAGGAAGAAGATCATTTTGTTTGTTTATCAAAAAAACAAAGGCGCCCGGGTGGGTAGGACTGGCGAAAAGTTCAAGACTTTTGCTCCTGATTCTAGGGACGGGCAGCTTGCATGAGAGCGGGGGAAGAGGACCTTTGAACCAAAGGGTGGGAGGGAATGTAAATTAAGTGAATTTGAAAAATCAGGGATTGTTTCCCATGCATACAGGAGCTCTAAAGAGGTAAGGAGCTTATGAGGATGGACCAGGTAAGCAGAGAGAAGAGGGGAATAAAGTCCTGAATATCTTTGTGGGTAGAAAGAGATTCACTCAAAAGACAGCTGTATGTCTTGTGCCTGGTCTGTGATCATGTCAGGGCAGTTATGACAAATCCTTTGGCTGGTCATTTGTCAAACTCTGGAGCCAAGACTTTCACACCTAAGAGTCATCAGCTCTTTGGTGAGCTTCTGTGGGGTGACATGGAAATGCATGATTCCTAGTGCCGGAGTCACCATGCCACAATCAAAAGCAAAATTAGATCACTAGCAAGAAACTGTGTCCAGTCAAACTTTTTCAAAACTAAGCCAAACCAAAATGACCACAGGTTTTCACTGTTTTTTTAAACCCCCCACAAACAGTTCCTGAACGAAAAGGTGGTTTGTGGTGTATAACAACCACGTACTTCATGAGAAACAATGGCCATGGAAGGACACCAATTGAAGGTTTATTTGATCTAGTCATTGAGCTCAGATGGGCATTATGTACTGTCACTAGTCAAATGGTCCTAACCAAGCAATATTTAAATCTTAAGTATACTGAAAAGAAAAAGGAATAGAATGGAACTTTCTAGACAAGAACAATAATTTGTTAGAATCCTTTGAAGGAAAGGATTCAAGATGAAAATCATTCACAAGACAAAAAAGTTTCCAAAAGGTAAAAAATAAAGGTTTTGAAGCAAGTTTTGTAAATCTCATTTGTTTTGGTAGAAGACAAGCAGAGATTTTCTAAAAGACTAAAATTTTGTATGATATGATGAGATGGTCCTTCCTTCTCTAGGAGGATTGTTCGTTTTATATATGTTTTTACTTTAGTTTGGTGTGTTACCATTTGTTTGGGATGGCTTGGTCATGGGGTCTTGGACTGGTCCTGATTATAAGGGGTCTTTTCATTGAGTTACTTTGTAGCTTTTGCCTGGTCAGGGTCAATTTCATTACAGACCCTTACTTTGTTAGTTTTGGTCTGAGGATTCACTATATTGGCTTTCTGGTCTACTCAACTTGTTATTGATGTAGCTTTTCAGTCAAGGGTTCCATTCATCCTTGGTGATTTTTATTGTAATGTTTCTTTTATTAGAGCATCCACTATTGTTGCAGTAAATTTTCAGTAAATTTACTGTACGTGTCTGTAAAGTACAGTGTCCGTACGTACAGAAACACACAATTCCACTATCGTTGCAGTATATATATTCTGCACAGTACGTATTGTACAGAATGGCCTCTGTTCCACTATTGTGTGTTCTGTGAAAAATCTGCAAATCTCAAAACATCAAGTTTTGACATTTAGTCGTTGCTCAGAATGGGTTGAGTTTCAAAAGCATTGTTTTCATAACAACTGCTCCAAAATAATTGATTAGAGAATCATCAATTAGAGAACAATTGATTGGAAAAACAAAAAGATTGGAAAACGATCGATTGGAAAACAGTTGATTTCAAAAAAAAACAATTTAAAAGAAAGATGTGAACACGAATGATTGGAAAACAGGGGGACTTCATAAAACTGATGAGCAGTAACAAGATGTTATAGTCCAATGCTCATGTTGAGAGTCAGAATCAGAGTGTGGTGTGTGTATGCGGATTGAGAGCATAAAAAGTGAAGTGTATGTAGTCGGACTTTGAATTTTGGGAGTGGTGGTGTGGTGTGCAGCTTGGTAAAAGTCCAGTGCTTTTGCAAATACCAATTCGGTAGAGGTACAGCAAATTTGCTTGACCTCTACTGATTTTCAAGTGATTCTGTAGGTACAGATCTGTATATTGGACACAATTGGGGATTTTGACTTTGGTACGGTAAAGTTTGATAAAATTTACCGTGCCGAGGCCATTTACAGAGACAATAGTGGATACTCTTACACTGTCAAAACTTGTGAGAGAGAGTTGTATTTATTATGTATATATTAATTTAAAAGGATCTTTGTCAATACATGAAGAGTTTTGCTCTACAAAACTTTCTCCAGTTGACAAGCAAACAGAACTGTGCAATCTTTCTTTTTCACCAGTCCTAACACCATTTGTCTGACCCACTGATTTCCAGAAATAATATATGTTGATTGCACCTACAAGACAAACTGGTTCAACCTACCTCTTTTCCATAATCTTGGCACCACAAATTCTGACAAGTCTTTTGTAGTAGCGCTGTGGTTAATGCACAGTGAAGTTGAAGAGAAGTACAAATGGGCTACATGCCAACTGAAGGAAATCATCTTTCACTAAAATGTGGAAAGGGAAATCAAGATGCCAGAAGGAGAAACTGATATCAAAGACAACATTCAAATTCCAGAAGCCAATGTCAAAATTCCAGACACCTATCTTTGGCTTCCCAAGACCTTTGGTACTGACACAGAACAGGCTCTTTGCAATACCAACAGTGCAGTATTCCCTGAATCAACTCACCTTCTGTACATATGGCACATGAACAAACACATTGGTAAAAATTGTAAGAAATGTTTAGGCTCTGACTTGTATGCATTCATTCACAGCCCCCAATCACAATTCACTGGAAGGCCCGTCTGCCCTGGCAACATGAGAATGTTTTGAATTTGTTTTGAATTGGATATCAAATGAATACCACCCATATATTGAGAGGTTATTGAGATATCACCAAAACTGGGATGATGTTGTATGACATTATAAAGCTGTTCAAAACTTCTCCTGTATATCCCCACCAAAAAATATAGTCTATTAGGGTACGTTTGGTAGCATTTATCTTTGGCGATTAATTTGGATAATCACAATTATTTTGCAAAATAATTGCTGTTGAAAGAGTACGTTTGGGACCATTTATGGTACCCAGAAATAAACTCCTTCCCCATACCAAAAGGAGTTCAAAAGGGTCCTTTGGATAAACGCCAAAAGGGAGTTTAACCACATGATAAACTCCTTTTTCACTCAAGAAAATTTCATCTCGTAACTTCAACCCTCCTCGGTGTCATACAAGTCAACCAATTTCCTATTGATCGACCCAAATTCCAATACAGTCATACCTCGGAAATCCGGTCCTCTGATATCTGGTACCCTCCAAAATCTTATTAGATTCTGGTCCACCGAGGTGGTTCCCAGCCAGATATCCGGTAACCTCCAAATTCTGGTATCCGGTGGTTAAAAACAGAAAAATCAAATTCCAGAGGTAGGCTATATAGGCGGATTTAGCTACAAAGCCAAGATTTTGGAGCAAAAAAAGATTCCAAAGTTATTTGTACAGAGTTCTCCTTGCGCTGAACCTGTTTTTTGTCACAAACTTCCCTCAAAACTCCTGTAAAAAAAGCCAATAGGACATTTTTGACATTTGAGTCAATAGTTTTTTCCCCTTCTATTTCTGGCTCCGCATTTCTTTTACTTTTTTTATTTTTTTTATTTTTCTAGAATCTGGTCACCCCTGCTATCCAGTACAAAAGCTGTCCACCAAGCGTACCAGATTTCTGTGATATGACTGTATGTATTCACTTCTTTGACAAGATACTATTTCTTTGACTCAATCCACAACTTCAACACTACACCATCATACTCAACACTCACCAGATCATCTAATCTTCACTTTTCAGCTCTTGGCTGCCTTTGTTAAGATACTATCTTATCAGGGCACCTATGTTAAGATATTATCTTGGTAGGTAGTCAAAGACCATTTCCGCTTTTGGTAATTTGAATACATCTTGGAAGGTTGTACGGTTTGGGTAAGAAGAAATGGTGTGCTGTGCAGTATTAGTGTAGGAAGTTGACC